GAGAAAATGCTGTGTCATTGTTGCAGGACTTCTCAGAGCCTTTACTGACGATCTTTTTACTCAATAGTTACTGAATTCCTAACACTTCTAAAGTCCTGTCATGCATTAGTTTATCCTCTCAACATGAACATCTATGAGGCAGGGAGTAAGAACGTCATTGCTATGTGACTGTCAAAGAAAATAAGATACACACATTTAGTGATTTGCACAAGTGTGGCCGTAATTCAAGTCACCATTGACCCCAGGGTTCATAAGCATCGTGAGTCTCCAAGACTGAAAGGAGAGAAGGTGGACGTCTTTCAAACCTATTTGACACAAAACCCTTCTTTGATAGCATCTCCTGGAGATAAACTTGCATATGTCCCATGTTGGAAAATGCCAACCTGAAACCACTGTTCACTTCTCTAAGCTCCTCGGAGCCAAAATTAACGGAATCTAAAAACACCCAGCACATTTTAGATGTTGTGTTTGAGGCTGCCGATAAGGCTGGATTTCTGCCCCAGGGGAATTTACGAATTTACTATCTGGAAGACGAGATGGTAGACTCTTTGGTGCTGTGATGGGTGTAAAAATAATAGGCTATGGACAACCCAACTCCACTTAGGGATACGCTGGAATATTTTAAAGAAGAGATGGGTTTGAAGTGTGGGCCTTAAAGCACAAAACGAAAGGGCAGTGTACTGCGAGCAGGAGGGGTGAGAGCCCCTTCTCCTTCCCTCGCCATCGTGCTATTCCTGAAATAATTAAACGGCATTTGATGTGCACAGGGAAGCCTGGGATTTGCTTGCGAAGTTTCCTCCCAAAGGCCCTAGAACCAAGCAAATGGCATTCAGGAGATGCTCACATCCCTGTCTCCATGGGGCAGGTACACAGAGACTAGGCTGCTTCCACAAACTGCCGGTGGAGGGGTCTTGGGCGGCCCCCAGAAGCAGATCTCATTGCCAACAGGCAAGGTTGCTCCCCCAAATGACCCTGTGTGGTGGATTTAAAAGACCTACTAATTCTTTGACCTCCCTCCCTCCATTGAAAAGGTAGAGTCTAACCTCTCTCCTCTTGAATATAGGCAGACTTAGTGACTTGCTTTCAATGAGTAGACGTGACAGCAGTGACTTTCCTGCTTCTCAGACTAGGTCACATAAAGAATATAACTTCTGCTGATTGTGTTTTCTCTCTCCTTGTTCCTCTCTTTCTTGTGTTTTTTCATTCCTTCTGTTCCTGTGTCCTTCCCTATCTTCTCTTTTTCTGTCTATCTCTTTCTCACCTCTTCGTACCCTCTCTTACCTCCATTCCCACCTCCCCACCCCCCAACATTCACTTTTGGAACTCCCCTGCTGTGTTGGGAGGGAGCCCAGGCTCCCCAGAATGGCCCCTTAGCAGGTTTCAGCAGATGACCCCAGTTAAGGTCTTCCAACAAGTCACCTGCGGAGTCACGTTATTTGTACATTTAACCTCTCCCAGTTCAGCTCTTCAGCCTTGGTAGGTGTGTTGGTCAGAGAGTCAGGCCAGAGCATCTCCTCACTTTTTGAAAAAAGGCCTATTTCTCTTTTCCTCTGTGCCCCATGGAAAGAGAAAGCTTTGTAAAAATGCAGAGAATGGCACAATTTACTGGCGGGCTTTCGGGCTTAAGATGGGTCAGGTCTTAGAAATTAGGAGGTTCCACCTTCTGAAAATTTCTAAACCCTTTCTAGCAGGTACCATGACTCCACTGTCTAAAAAGCACCGGTGCTCAAAACACCATGGGATTACAAGTATTCAAAAGCAGGTTGGAGTCCTCCCCGGCTCCAGCGCACGGTAAACCTGCTCTGCTGAACTTTCTAAATGGGCAAGAATTTTCCTGGACTCAAAACCAGCTGCTTCTCTCAAGCACTAAAGATAAGATGGGTCTGGTCTGTGCTGGAGAGACCCTGAAGATTCCACCCTCCAGTCTCAGAACCCGCTGCATCTTCAGTGCCAGGTGCTGGGAGGGGTCTGGACCCCGGACGGGGGACCCATGTGCTCTGCGCTTCATAAATGTCCTACCCGGGCTGTCTTTCCACCTGGCTGTATTTCTACCACCTTTGGGGTAAATGCCTCTGGAGGCCTCTGCCTCGTAGGGACACTGAAAAGCTGTCAATTTTCAATTACAGGTTGGAAGACTCTTTCCTGATCTTTCTTCCTGGTAAAACGTAATTAGGTATCCTTTTTCTTCAGCGCTTCCACAGCTAGGATCGAAATTAAAAGGGCTTTCTTTTAAAGTATCAGTTAAAGAGAAAATTGAATGACTGGAAAAGGCGGTGGCTTAAAACATTCTGGGCTGTGGAGGGTTTTGTTTGTTTTTGTCTTTATTATGGGAGGGCATCCTGCTTCCGGCCTGTGAACAGGGAAGGCGATGTGTGGTGGTGGAGACAGGCTGTAAATAAGCCGTCCCTGGAATTGTTAATTACTGCGGCAATTAGTATTACAGGGCACTCTGAGGGTGTGTGATGGAAGTCAGGGTTCCGTGTTCCCTTGCACTGCTATTTCAAACTTGCCTGAGTGGGTGCAAAAGACGCCTTTGAGCTTTGGGTCAGCTTTGCGATCGCTTGCTGGAGGAAGGCAGGTTGCAGCCAGCCAGTCCCTTTTCTTTATAACCGGCAGCCATATCATTCCCCCTGGGGCACCCTCAGCAGGTGCAGGAATCCACTCCCCCACCCCTACGGCCGTCCACACAAATAAAATCTGAGAATGGCCAATATATTCTGCGGAAAGTCACAATAGCCCGCAAAAAAGTAATGCATAAGCTCATAACTTCTCACCAAGGCTATTTAGCATCCCATTAAAAATATTCAAAATATAAATCAAAATTCATGGGAATAAGTAATATTCAATTTAGAATTTATGGCATTTGAAAATAGGATGATTTCCTCAAATGCGCAATAAATTTGGTTTTGCGGAATTGCACTTGCCACCTTATCGTGACGGTTGCTTTATCTACACAGCCCACCAAAGCGGAGTCACTTTATGGAATCTAAATTCACAAATCAACTGTCGTCTTCACTTCACTGATTCATTGCTGATGGGCCTTTCACAAGGTAAAAAAATAAAAAAAAAAAGCCTCCTGAGTTGACAAGAGTAATAAATGGGGAGGTTAGTGCTGCCCATCCATCCAGCTGGCCCGCTGACCCGCCTGTAGTGACACATGGCAGAATAAACTCATAAACCAGCTGCATCTTTTGACCTCTGCAGAGTAAATGGAAACAGGAGAGCATTTATGAGGATCACCGTGTTTAAGGATTACAGCCTAACCAGAGAATTATATAAAACCTCAGGAACACCTTGGGAGCAAGGACCCAGACCCAGTAACCGAGAGCCCAAAATCCTGAAGTTTTAAAGAGGTTCTCTCTTTATTCATTTTGACTGTCCCCAGTATCCTGTGGTTTACTAGGACAAGGGAATGCCGGGAAGGGGCACCTTTGAATCTGTAGAGAAAACCTCACTGAAACCCTAGGAGAAGGGAAGGAATGAAATTCACCAAAGCAAAGGACGTGACAGTTATTCTCAGAGTCGCCTGAACACAGAGCTCTAGCCCCAGATAAGGCGAAGAAAACCCCTACTTTGCCAGGGCAAGAAAAGACCATGATTAACAAAAGCATAGCCATGAAGTTTGGTCTTAGAAATGTAAAATTATCTTTTCATTAGCCACAGCTGGTGCTTTTTAAAAACATTTCTTCATCACCCTAAGTGTGGCCTCCTATGCTCTGGAACCTGGTATTTCGTTCTTTCTTTTTTTTTTTTTAAAGTGCAGTTTGTAGAATGAAATAGCGTTTTCCACTTCCTGATTGATGAGATTCAAAGCCAAATCCAGCTATTAATTATGGGTAAAAGAAAAGCGAGACACAAGTTCAGTGGCATCTTAGTCATGCAGCGTGCAGGCATGTAGATTTCAATTTTTCAAATCAACTCTGGGACAGGGAGAACACCTATGGTTCAGACCGACTAACAAGATTTTCAGTATCAGCTGTTATCTAGAAATGAATTTGTGCTTCTAAGAAATACTCAACAATAGAGATGTATTTAAGCAAGTGCTAATTCCGACCTCATATTTAGCGTTTGTACACAGATGCTTTATTGGGAACATGAATATGTTTTAAGGAATTATGTTTAATAGTAAAAAATAATGCCACATCCTTATGTGAAGATCGGGAAAGGAAAAAGATCACCTGTAATGAAATTGTCCCCTTAGAGCTATTTTTTAAAATGTATTAACTTTTACATATGTTCACGAGCATATATATAATTTTATATATTTTTATTTTGATACATTTATTTACTGTTTGTTTCCTACTTATTGTAATTTTAATTTTCTGGCTACAAAATGATCTAATGGGTACACTATAATTTAGTCTATCATTTATTTCATTTATAATTGTTTGACATTCGGTAGAGTCTACATTTTCTTGTTATCAGTAACCCTGTGACTAATAATTCAAATTTACCCATTACCATGTAAAATTCAAAGGACTAGTTAAATAGCAAATGAAATAGAACTGAGGGGGGAGCTAGTGAAACATAAGATAGATCTGAGAAAGTTTCTCAGAGTCGGGAAGCAGAAAGAAATGGATCATAGAAAAGGGATCAAGAGGCACAGAGGACAAAATCAGAAAGGCCAAATACATTTATAACGGGATTTCCAGAGATGAGTATAGGAAGGAGGGAGAGGATATCCTGTGTAAAGTGAGGCTGGACGTTTTCTAGAATTGAAGAGGTATGAGTCTGGAAATAAAACAAGCACATTCAATACTGGGAAAAATAAATTAAAGAAATCTGTGCTCCTACATATGGTTAAAAAAAAAAAAAAAGTAGAATACCAAAAGATGAAGAAAAAAGTCCTAATAGCAAAGCCAGGGAAAAGACCTGCACTTAAAATGATGAGTGTGCCAGAAGCGATTAAGGATAGTAACCAATGAGATAATATCTTCAAGTTTTTGAAGGAAATACTATTCAAAGTATGCATAGTTAATTATTATTATTATTATTATTATTTAAATATGGAACGCTTCACAAATTCGCGTGTCATCCTTGCACAGACACCATGCTAATCTCTGTATCATTCCAATTTTAGTATATGTGCTGCTGAAGCAAGCACTGCATAGTTAATTATTTTAAAGAGAGAATCAAATAAATGTTTTAAGGGCAGCGCCTGTGGCTCAAAGGAGTAGGGCGATGGCCCCATATGCTTGAGGTGATGGGTTCAAACCCAGCCCCGGCCAAAAAATAAAAAATAAAAATAAATGTTTTCAGACAAAGACCCAGAGAGTCAAAGAACCTTGGTGCTAAGGGATAATGAGGAGGAATCTAAGAGGAGAAAGTAGAATTCAAGAAGCGTGGGGAGCAAAACTAGCAAACTGCATACAGACTGCACTCTAGGCCCATAATACAGTTAAGTTATAAAGAGCCAACTGTTGCATGTGCTTGGAGATTAAAGGATAACAATGAAAACCATCAAAACCTTCTACATAGGTGTGGGTCAGAAAAGAAATTATAATCAAAATAACCAGATAGTTAAAACTGGGTGGCAAAAGATTAGTTTTCAAGGCCTGTGCTTCAAAGACAAAACTATAGTGAGATAATTCTGACCCCAAAGTCACAAATTATAGAAGAATTACTGAGCTAAGTATCCAACTCAAGGAGGTAAAAAGTGAACAAGTCAAAAAGAGGGTAGGAAAAAGATGACAGAAATTCATAAAGTGGAAAATAAAATAGTTTGATCAGCAAAGTTAAAATCTGTCTCTTTGAACAAACAGGCAAAATTCTGACGAGATCCAAGAAAATGAGAGCAAGTCCAGTGAGCGATATTAACAAAAAGGAGAAAATCATGAGAACGCCGTGAAGGGCTTTATGCAAATAAATGTGAAAACTTACAGGAAATGGAATATTTCTAGAAATGTGTAGTAATCAAAAGTGACTCAAAAAGAAATAGAAAACCTAAGTAGTACCTTCAATAAATATAATCAGTAGCATGAAACTATTTCCAGAAGCAGCAGGTCCAGAGGGCTTTTTAAAGTAAGTGTTATCACCACCAAAGAACTGATAACCCCGATTTTTATATAATCTATATTCTCGAATGGAAAGACATTCCTTTCAAGATTTTGATGTCAGATTTTCCAACGGACATCAAAATAAGACAAGAACACTGTAGAAAAGTAGAACTTTGGGAAACTATTATTTGTGAATATATATTTAAAAATCCTTTTCAAAAAATATATCAAGGAAAAATTTGTAAACAGGTAGTATATGTATTAATTCCATCAAAGGGCTGGGTGAGGTGGCTCATGTCTATAACCCAACACTTTGGGAGGTTGGGGCGGGAGGACCACTTGAGGCCAGAAGTTGGAGACCATCAAAGACTGGTGAAGATTAGAGAAGGCATTAATGTAATCCACCATATTAATAGAAGAAAAAAAGCATGATCATAACAATAAGCAATGAGAAAGTTGCAATCCACTCACATCTTTTTCATGGCAAAAGCCATTGTAAACTGGAAATTGAAGGGAACTTTCTTACTTTGATAAACAGTGCCTACCAAAAACTCACAACAAATACATACATGACGCATTAAATGTAAAGTCAGTGATGATACAAATTGCCTCTATTCTGATAATTAGCCCTGTTCTGGAAGTCCTAGAAAGCACACTAAAATAAGAAAAATAAGAAAGCAAAAGAATTTTGAAGGCAGAAATAAAATAGTTTACTTACGTACGTTCTTAATACAATTGTCTACATAGAAAATCCAAAAGAATTGATCAATTATAGGAAAATGCAAAGACATCTAGAAATGAGATCAATATACCAAAAGCAGTTATATACACAGGATCAACATAAAGTTCATAGACAGTTGAAAATAGTTGTAATTTTAAGTTCCACGAGAACTTTATGTCTACCCCGTGTCTGTCTATATGCACACACACCAGTGATAAATCATCAAAGATGTAATCAGAAACCTTTATTCATAATACCAACAAATTTTGAAGTACTTAGGATTAAATATATTAAAGGCTTTTGCAGCAAAAATTATAAAACTTTTTGGAAGGTCAAAAACATAGTGGCTAAATAAATTCGAAATATTTCTGGAAGGAACCGTCAGTAATATACATGAGGCAACCACTCTCAGATACACAGAATTCTAACAGATCCTTCTCAGAACACGACAAGCTGATGCTAAAATTCATATGGTATAATATGGGTTGAAAAATGCTCAGGGGAGCACTCAATAACTCTGAGGTGCGACCATCATCATCGTCATCACCACCATCATCTCTGTTTGATAAAGCAAGAATGTCGTGTCTTTCTAGTGACACTCAATCCCTACTGCGATTGTCTTTTGAGGAAAAGCAACTTAGAGAACACAGCTGCCATTTCTCCAGCTCCTGGAAAGACGAGTTTCACGACATTGCTGTGGCACCACAAGGGCACTTACTGGAAATACCAAGTGTTTATTGATTTCAAAGTCTCTATGAGTCTATCACCAATGACAATTTCTTATCTAGTAAGGATTCCTCACCTGACAGGGCAAGGCCAGGAGACAAAAACCAAACACACAAAAGAACCCCAACAACAACAACAACACCCTGTGAATAAGAATTGAGGCCTCTTTGGAATGAAGCAATGTATGTAGCTCAAACATGACCTTGCCGTTTTCTTGGGAATTTAGAGAACTGTCTCTCTGCTTGTGACATCTGGCACTCCACATGTCTTTCTGGAACGGCCTTTCTAAGGCTGTAGTATTTCACTCCACTGAGGTATATCATTTTTGCCCCATGCACAGGCTTCACAAGTATTTATTGAGCATTTACTATGTGTCAGTCAAAGTTCTAAAAACCACAGTTAGAGCAATAAACAGAACTGACAGAAAGCCCTTACCCTCAAGGGGCTTACACTCTTGTGAGAAAAAGCAAAGAGAAACAAGACAGCTACGCAAAAATACACAGTATGTTACCCAGAAGTTAACGCCTAGGAGAAAATGAAGTGGGTGGTAGTGGTTTAGGATAGAGCAGGGCTGCTGGAAGACAGGAGTCAGGCAGGGGTCCTTGCTGAGGTAACACTTGAGTAGAGACCTGACAGAGAGGAAGGAGTGAATCATATCGACAGCTAGGGGAACAGTGTTCTGCAAAGAGGGAACAGAATGTACAAAATGTCTGAAGTCAGAGTGTGCTTGGTTCATTCAAGACAGGTAAATAAGGCTATGATGGCCAGAACAAAGTGAACCCAAGGGCACAGTAAGAGAAGAGGTTAGGGAAGTAATGAGGTGGAGCCCAACTGATGTTGGGCCTTATACACCCTTGCAGGGAATTGGGTTTTGCTGGGAAAGCAATGGGGAGCTTCAGAAGGGTTTGGAGCAGAAGGGTAACAAATCCCAGCACATGTTGTTAAGTCCTGCCCTCTCTGGCAGCTGGGTCGTGCACAGACGTGGTGCAGACTACTGGGAGACCTGCCCACAGGTGGTGGGGCTTGGACCAGGGAGGCGGCAGAGGAGAACAACTGGAAGCTTCCAAGGTGTTGTCTTATCAAGAATCCCAGAGGTGGTGGTGCCCATAGCTCAGTGGGTAGGGTGCCAGCCACATACACCGAGGTTGGCAGGTTCAAACCCAGCCCAGGCCAGCTAAAACAACAATAACAACTGCAACAAAAAATATGGCGGGCATTGTGGCAAGTGCCTGTGGTCCCAGCTACTTGGGAGGCTGAGGCAAGAGAATCGCTTAAACCCAGAGTTTGAGGTTGCTGTGAGGTATGAAGCCACCGCTCTCTACCCAGGGTGATAGCTTGAGACTCTGTCACAAAAAAAAAAAAAAAAAAAAAGAGAGAGAGAGAGAGAATCCCAAAGGTTGGAGCCTCTCAGACACGCCCTCTGTGGCCCCAAGGATGCCTTGGGGGAAAGACATTATTTCAGAGTCAGCTTTGGTAGCAGCCTAAGGGGACAGCATTCACATGGAGTACCCATATCCAGGGTTGTGGAATCAATTCTGTTAGCCTGACCTTAGCCCAAGACAGGATCCCTGGGAGACCCCTCCCCAGGGCAAGCACTAGAAGACAAGGCCAGGAACGCCCTGCAGCGCTACTGGTGAGAAGAGTCTCCTGCTGTGGTTGACAGCTCCTCCCAAAGTTCCCAGTTTCTACTGACACACTGGAACAACCTCATTTTAGTGACTCAGGCTTTGTACATTTGCTAATAAATCTATGATGGACATAGATATGCACAAAAGATATGCAATGACAAATCCTTGTTTATTCATTGCTATTTATTTAATGGTCTTCTACTGTGTGCCAGGTACTGCATTAAGACTTTTAACATAAGTTATCTTATTCAGTCTCCTAACTCAACATGGGAGGTATAAATAGCTTAATTTTGCAGCTGGAAAATTGAAACTCAGGGATAAGATACAACTTCCTCAAGTTTGTACGACCAGTAATTAGTGGGGTTGATATTTATATCTAGCCTGGCCTTCACGCCTGTGGCTTTTTCTACCATCCCATGCTGCCTTGAATTAGTCTACAAACACTGGCTGCCTGACTTCCACGGAAGGATTTTTGGACACGAATCTTATCTGAGCTATAAGGCTGACTCCTTTTTATTTTTAAGCAAGTAGTTTACAGCAAGGGTTGATAAACGTTTTCTTAAAGGGTCAGAGAATAAATACCTGGTCTTTGTGTCTGTTGCAACTGCTGAACTCAGGTCTTGTAGAATAAAAGTAACCTTGGACAATATGAAAAGAACTAAGTGGGGTTGTGTTCCAGTAAAACTTTAACTACAAAAACGGGTTGGACTTGGTCTTTGAGGCATCATTTGTGGCCCACTGGTATCTAGGCTGAAAGCAATGGAGAGTTTCAGGATCTAGGCTGATGGGATTCAACTGTTCTACCATGTAGTAGATGTGCAGACTTCAGGAGGTTATTTAAATTTACTATGTAAAATTGGGATCGTGTATTATAGGGTTGTTGTAAGGATTAAATAACTGAATAGATGGTCTTTGGAAATTCACAAATGAAAAGTATTATTGTATGCCTGCCCTCCCTCAAGATTCTTTAATTGAAACCAACATCAATTTACAACAGACTCCCGTTAAGGGAAGCCAGATGACTTTAAGATCT